GGTGCAAAAATTTGCTTTTCGAGCACCATTGTCTAGCCGCATTCATGGCTCAGTTGTAACTGTGAGAAATATTTGTACCATTCTTAGAGGCCTTCACAACATTCTTAAATGAAGTAGGTGTATGCCAGAACCCGGTGAGGATGGGAACTCACCTGAACGACAGGTTTTTCCTCTCCTGTAACAAAATTATGCGTCGGTTTTTGCTATCCGTGAGCTTCACACCTTCCTGAAAAACTGGCAAAGTTTTGTTCATTCCTCCGTGCAGAATCGATGAACAAATAGGACCCAGATGATGAGTGCCTTCAAGTGTACCCGAGCAAAATATGGTTTTCGTCAAGCATCTGGTATGAGCAACAGAAGACCAAACTCTGATAGCATCATCATCATCATCATAATTGTCAGCTGTAATAACCGCGTACTCGTCGAACAGTGGTTGTAGCTGCCGCAGTTTCGTTCACCGATGATTTGGGGGGAGGGGGAGGTAGCTGCGCATTGCACGCGCGAGCTGGTAAATTGGTGCATAAATCCAGCACTGTCAGTGGGGTGCCAAGTGGGGGGTTGGAAAAGGAGCTACGCATTGAAGGCAATAGCTTGGATGCACGAGCGCCATTGAGGGCGTAATTGGGCCATGTCTGACAATGTCTCTAGCCATTGATGTGGCCCGTCTCGGGGTCCCCATCCAGGAAGATGGCAGTGACCAGCGCAGTTGAGCTGGCTGGTAATGGCTTTCACACTTCGCTGCCAAGTCATTGTTTGACCGCCTCTGGCTCTCTTCCACCCTTCACGTGGTTGTGCGGAAAGAGCCTTTCGAGGAAGTCGGTCGACTGGCATACGCAACACGTGGCCAAGCCAGCGCATCTTGCTCATTTGAGAATTAGTCACAGAAACTAGATACATCCATTCACGATCGGCGATTCCAGTTCAAACGTCAGCCATTTAACGGTGGTGAAATTGTCTTCAAAACACAAACTTGACAGTTGCAAAGCTCACAGGGACACCATGTAACACTGATACACTTCCGTCATGTCTGATACAACTACCAAGTTAAAATTCCCTTCAATATCCAAGGTTTCTATTAGAAGTGTAAGACGCAAGTTCAATGATTGCACATTTTGTAGCATGACTTTACTCTCTAAAGGTGCGAGGCGCATACTGGAAAATGGTATGATGATAGTCAGTTTCATCAACGGGACTCACGCTTCGCCTTCGTCTCCACTGAAAGGGATGATTTCGTCTGCGTACTCCACATCGAAAAAGCTCTCACCAGTAACGTTTTAAACACCGAAGTTTTGAAAACCTTCCACTGTCTGCCTCATTATTTCGTCGATGGTGAAGTTGAACGAGAACGAAAAAAGTGAACACCGATTTTTGTAGGGAAGCTTTTGGAGAGCTCACCACACAGGAACACATAGGCTCCCAAAATTCTGGAGTTGCCCTGTTAGCATGTATGGTTAACAGTACCGACCAACTGACATGACTGAACGCACCACAGAAGTCAAGGAACACCAAAACTATGGGTCATTGTACATATGGCGTTGCTTTAGCACCTGACGGAGCGTGATGATGTGGCCGATGCAGCCTCTACCAGGTCAAAATCCAACTTGATGCTTACGCGTCCAGGTCTCGCGTGCCACCGCTAGATGGCACAGAATCAGTGACGCTAGAAACATTTTTACTATGGGAGTCAAACTGACATTCCTGTAGTTACTGCATTCAATGCGAGTAGTCTTTTTGAAACTAGGCACACTCTTCGTTTCATATCAGTTATCTGGCACGGTCTGTTTCCCTCAGATAGATGCAGATAGTTTAGACCTGAGGAATCCAACATGAACTTGAACAAAGCAGGTGGAAGGTTCTCAGGATAAGCAGCTTGAGTGGAGATACATACTTGGACACTTCTTAGGCTAAAGAGGGCCCCATATTCACACTCCACCTTTTTCTTGAGGTTGGTCCGTCCGGATTTGAGGTGGCAGGTGGCCAAATAGATTGTCGTTCGAATTGCCCTGCCCAAAGGTTCAAATATTATTCTTTGGTGGATACCAGAAAGCCAATTTTCTCCCTGATAGTTTCGCGGACCAGAAGGAAGAGTCGTACGGAGAGTTTTTTTCAGATTGTCCATTTTCTCAGGATTTCGAACCAACCAAACTTCTCGGTCTGTACAGACACTCAATTCCACCTGGTGTTGCATGATGTGCTGAGTTCAGTTGTGGTGGCGCCCAGGATGAATCTGTCGACGGGTCCCAACGAAACCAGGTTCCCATTAGAGATATGACTTTTGAGCATGGTTGACAAGACCCACGACGTTTGAGCTCTGGCTCGTTTTGAAAGAGCATCTACAGCGTCATAGAAACCATCCTTAGCGAATTCAGAGCTAAAATCCGTTGAGATGTAAGCACACACATCATAGCAGAGAGTGATGAACCTCACTTCCTCGAAATTCTTCCACAGATGGTAACAAGTGAACGGTTCAGAGCCGACTCTCATTTAGAATCTAATAAAGTAGAAACGCTTCCACTCGATCACCCAACATAATACCCACCCTGGTATATTCAGCTGCAGTGACCGCCTCATTACATCCGGAAGGGAGTGGACAGTTACAGTACTTGTGTACTCTATTCCTGTTCCTGAAAGACAGCATTCATCAGTGTGAAGGGAATCCGATTAATGAGCAAGTGGCGTTTGTTATTCTGTTTGCTTCAATGTGATAAGAACGAAGACAACTAAGTGGACACTTTCGGAGAAAACAGACTCCGAGTTGTTTAGGGTTGTTACTGAAGTCGGACGCACAGAAGGTGCAGCTGAGCATGTTGCACGGTGAACAAAGCGGTTAGTCCTGGTTACGTGACTTGTCGAGAGAGTATTCAAATTGGGATGGGGTAGGATAGAAGAGAAAATACTTGAAAAGGTGAGAAGGGAGCGTCAGGATTGGCATGTTTTCACTTACCCGTCCTGCTGTATGCAACAAGTCACCTGGCTAATGACACCATGCGACGGTCAATGTGAAAAGAATATTGCCAGTTGTAAGTGTCACGGTTGTACATAAGCTGGGATAGTTCCAAAGCGCCCGCACCTAAACAGGAGGACGATCAGGGTCCTCGACCAAAGCCTTTGGTTCAAATGCCTGACCGCAAGGCAGCGGTTGGGTGCCAGCATACTACTACATTAGTACAAGTTTAAAAGTAACAAGTCACCTTGCCTGTTTCAACCCGCAAACCAGAGGACCAGGAGACTGTGTTCATCAGAACTCTATCCCCCGACCAGCCTATTATGACAAACTCTGCGGGTGTCACGGTGAAACCACTCAGTATGGCTCAGTGAGTCGCCGGCACTGCCTGTCGCTATCAAAGAAATACGACCGAACACCTAACATTACCAAGAGAGCACTTTGTTAACAATTCTTGGTTAACGTATCACTTTACTTACTTTACGGTGATTTTTCCTGGAAGAACACGATCAGCGTTTGGCGCTAAATATAGACCATAGTCTTGACATTTCTTTTGCTTTAACTATACTTGTCTGATAGGCTGGTGAAATATACGGACATTAGCCCAGTTCGATGATTAGGCAACTAGGTGTAGACAATCCTAAGATGTGTAGAATTGACGTTCACATTACCCTCGTTTGCACAGTCCTCCACCTGTCGTGACACAGTTATTCTGATCGGTCCTTAGAGGAAGCAAACCAGCCGCATCACTTTCGTTTGAGAAGTCCTCCTTGTACGTTCACACACTGCCCTCGATTTCCACTCCTATTAGAACTCATCAGCAGTGCACATCCTTGGTCGAGATGACGTCTGAACTCCGAACGTCTTACATGTCAGATGAGGAGGAGGATAAGCAGAAGGGTGTGAATTTGAGTTGAACGAATTAGGCGACACCTACAACTAGTCAAAAACCATTCGTGCGTCTGTGAAGCTACCTGACTGGAAATTCTGGACAAGCGGATCAGTCGACCGATACAACCAGGATAGATTCTAGATCATTGTTCGAGACGTTGAGCAAACCAGTTACATTGGTCGAGCATGAATATGTTCGCCCGTTCAAACATGATAATTCCGTTGCGTCCAGAATGGGCAGGTGAAGTAGAGGTAGCAACATATCCATTAAGATTGCTGGTGTCGAGTTTAAACTCCCGCGCGGCCAGGGATGCGTATTGCTGACGAGCTGTAGTAATAGCGAAACTCAAGAACAGTGCTTCCTCTTTTGGTGTGGACGCCTGCACAGAAAGATCTTCCGAACGTAGGAGTGACGTGGACGTGGATTGGTTGTTTGATTCGCATTCACCCAACGTGAGCTCTGAAAGCTTCACATTGGCACTGGTGCATAATATCGTACACTCCGGTATGCGTTATCTCCCTTTGGACAGTTAAAGGCCGTACACATGAAACCATCCTTTATCGCATACCAGGCAATTGATGGTCACCGACGCTCGTGGCCCACGTGGTAAGGTGTGACAGTTGCTGACGTTTATATGGGATTGTGAATTGACAAGGATTCCGCGGAAGTCTTCAGTTTTTTCTATAAACAGAAATCTGTTTTTTCGGAAGCTGCTGGAACAACAGGCCAGGAAACCCAAGCATGAACGTAGCACGCCGGATTTAACTGTGGATGATAGAGAAAATGAAAATTTTGGGAACTCCTTAATGTGTGATAGGGCTTTTTCGACCATCAGTAGCATGTTAGACCAAGGTGAAATTACGCGGCAGAGGGTTAGCTAGATACTGGGGGTGAGCTCCAATCCAACTGAACTGGGGTCATACGGTTAATTCATGTTTTTTAGTAAGCTGGAGGATAGACATCATGTGTTAAAGAACGGGAAGTTCTTTTTAAGCGGCTTGAAATATTGACTTCCTTGACAATATTCATAACCTTTCAGATCTAATCGCATTTCAAATATTACTATATTTTTCAACCAAAAGATTTTCGGTACAACGTTTCAAGGGCTGATAGTGACAACTAATTAACAGTTATGCTTGTAGAACGATAAAAGAATAGTGGCGAAGAGTAATCGATCGAACGCAGTTCCAGAGGTTGCCTTAGCTCGATTGACCATCTTGATTCGACACCCAGTCAACTGCACAACTGAGTCCCTGTTTGAAAGCACGATGGCGCAGAAATTTGCAGCATTACAGCAAGATGTGTGTGTGCCTGAGTGTGGAGATATCAGTTCTGACGGAGCAGATTCGCCAGTCATACGTGTATTCAAAACAATGGAGTCTACATGGTAAACGGCTGTAGCACAACATCCTGGCCGAGAATGGAGGAACAAACAATGGAACGAGTATATCGGGTTATTTTTACCCCTAATTTCTGCAGTTGCTTTCCCTGAAAAAAACTTCAACTTAATTTCCGGTGTTTGGCTTCCATGTTGCATTAGACTCGAACAGAGGTAATGTAGGACGAGGAACGCGGTTTATGAGTTCACTGCATCCAGTCTGGGATCCTGTGCACAAAATTGTTTGTACGAACTGACGGTTCGTTTTCAGTTAGACAACACGATCACCTTCATGTCTTGCTGTACAGTGCAAAGTGTGCGATCACTTACCATGGTTGTTGTTGGTGTTTCTTTAGGGATCTGCATAAAATTTCACCAAATCGGTAATTCCTAATCGAAAATTGATTCCTCAAATCCTATAACCACTTACCTGAGCCAAGCCAAAGTAGAGGAAGTGAAGACCGGAATTCAAATGCCAAACTTTTCTCAGATGAATAAGACCATGGTTGATCTTGGTAACACATCATTTAATTTCACAATTTTGAAATTACACCGGTTTTGGGTACTTCAGCGAAAAAAGGGCATAGTTTACCACAAACCGAAGCCTAAATGAAGTTTCGACGTGGTCCGAAGAAGGTTGAATAGCTAATGTCTGTCAGCGTATCCGGCATCAGTATTTAACCCACAAGAGGCATCGGATCTTAAATGAGTCAGTAATGATGGTAAGATGTTGCCACAGGTCGGTAGGCTGAAGTTGTACCAAATGCGTCCGTGCTTTTTCGTGCTTCATAGGCTGGGGAGGACAGAGTTACCTAGCCAGTAGCAAAAGAAAGCAGAAAACAGGTTGGTAAGCTCTATGAGAAATTTAAATGGGGAAAATGGCCACTGACAAGAAGCTGATAGGGTGATTTCTGGGTGAATTATTATGCCACTAGAAAGAGGGAAATCAAATAATCGCAAAGAAGACAAAGGTGAGCACATTTCTAAAGCGTTCTGGAATTTTAGGCGTGTAGAAAAGTCCGTTCACATTATCTCTACTTTAGCTTCTGATTACATGCTGCGAGAATTTAAGCACCCCACAATCCGTCTCTCAGAAACACCACTATGTGAGCCAGAAATTGATGTGTTGTCATGGGAAATTATCTGAACGGCGTAATTTCTGGTCTACATCAAATGGCGTCTAGTTCTCCCGGAAGGACCCAGCCGCGCTACTAACGCCATATCAGATTAGATTTCTCTTGCAGTTTTTCATTCTGATAATCTCTGTCATTGCTCTCACTACTGTTATTACTACTCTGTCCAACCGGAAGCTGCCACCCTTTTGTGTTCGTCGGGCTTCAGTTCAGCAATGATCCTACACGCTACAGTGACTGGGCTTCTTTCCTCAAGGTCGTGCCATACCAAAAAGGTTAACGGTGAACAGTCGGAGGAAGAGGAGCGTGTCCCTCTGCTAACAGCAACATTAGTGCGAGTTAGAGGACGAACTCTTACTGTTTGCCTTGGCGGGAGTATGAGGAGAGGAAGGTTGTCTGGCGATAAGTATCCCCATACTATTGGAGGCAGCGATGCAGTATTTCGCCAAGGAAGGATGGGTTGGAAAAGATCGGCTCTAAAACCACACGCTTCGACTGCCTAATAGTTCACTGTGACTGTCGACTCATCATCTCACACGGTCGAAATACCTATTAAGGCCAAGAGTTCAATGTGGCTCAAAATGTATCATCTATGCGCAGCAGCGTTAGAAGTCAGGTAGTTACGCCTTAACCACAGTGCTCTCGGGCTAGGTCAGCCGTCTACCTCCAGTGGATCAGGCCTGCGAGTTGCTGACATCCATAAAACTGCATAGAGAAAAGAGAATCGGCCATTGACTTACAGGTTGGACGCTTGAAGCAAAGGGAGGAAAGGGGCTAAAAGCTACTGGAGGTTGGAAAACTGCACCAGTTGGCAACTACAAACGACAAGTCAAAACTGGGAACCCGATAACTCTCTTCGACAGCAATGGAAGCGACAGACCTGAAGCCAAGGGTTTGGAACGCTGTTGCATTGAGATAGCTGCACTGAGCAAAGCACCGTTGTTCTACCAAGAAATACTGCAGTACGCTGGTTGAACATTCCGAACAGTCTGAAACTTCAAAGGATGGTCAATGGGATACTGGAGTCGGATTTGCAACGGTCAATCATATGAATGGAAGCATATTGATAAACCGAACTTCGTCCGTTCAAGGGAATTGATCGTCCGGCTACGAACTTCAAGGAGAATTTTTGAAACTTGTAGGTTTGTGAGCTGCTACATCTTCCTCAGAAGCTGAGCAGGAAGAATTCAACGAGGAGTTATCAACTGTCATCGCGCGCATCCGATCAACTGATCGCCTATTGTTGATGAGTGATCTGTAGCGGTCACCCACTTGATCACCCGTCACAAACACTCAAACCTCGTGACAATTCCTGTCCTACTTGCAATCCTAGCCGACAACGTGTACACTACAACTTCCTATCCATTTTGTTTACGCGGGTAAAACCTGCGTTACACACCAGGCTTACGAACTTCAACCACATCAGGTCAAGCTGTATTCATGTTCGTGCAGGATCAAGCACGAAGGCACACCCCTCTCTTCACACTGGACACATTAAGTAGATATACAACTCGGCCCAACAGACACACGTGCATACAGGACAGGAAGTCAACCGCGTTCCACAAGTCTCCACAGCTAAATACGGGACACGTGTAGCAGCTATACTGCAGGCAAAACAATTCCCGCGTCCGGAACTTTACTCAGGAACTCTCGACAGTCACCTTTTGCCTTACTCCACTTTTCGCATTGTATCTATTTTTACCAAGTGCACCCAACTATTGTGTTCATCATCATTCTGGTAAAACAGACATTTG